TTTACAGCTATATTTATAGTATAAGATATCATGTCCAAGTGGGCTAGTATCTTAAAGGCTATTGACCAAAGGAGCTCCCACAGCAAAATTCCTTCTGGCCTGCCTATAATCTGTCCTGCCATAAGCCAAAGCAACTTATTTATTAACTAATAAATGCAACACATATACAAAAAAATCCAACATCATCTCCTGTTTATTGTTTAGGTAAAAAGGAAGTTTTAAACCTCAATATATTAATATTTACAACAAAACAGTTACCAAACAAAAATTATAGTTATAATATTTAGTCTATTTATATTTAGCAAATTAAGGAAACTATTTTACCCTCTGTCCTGTCTTTGCATGTCTAAAGTTTTGTATCTAATTTATCTTTTTTTAATTAAAATTTTCCACCTCCTCACTTCCTTCCCTCCCTTTCTCTCCACTGCCCTCCCCCTCCCTCTCCTGTACAAAGAGCAGTCAAGGTTCCCTGCCCTGTGGGGAGTCCAAGGTCCTCCCACCTCCATCCAGGTCTATGAAGGTGAGCATCCAAACAGACTAGGCTCTCACAAAGCCAGTACATGCAGTAGGATCAAAGCTCAGTGCCATTGTCCTTGGCTTCTCAGTCAGCCCTAATTGTCCACCACGTTCAGAGAGTCTGGTTTGATCACATGCTCCATCAGTCCCAGTCCATCTGGCCTTGGTGAGCTCCCATTAGATCAGCCCCACCGTCTCAGTGGGTGGGTGCACCCCTTACAGTCCTGACATCCTTGCTCATGTTCTTCCTCCTTCTGCTCCTCATTTGGACCTTGGGAGCTCAGTCCAGTGCTCCAGTGTGGGTCTCTGTCTCTATCTCCATCCATCTCCAGATGAAGGTTATATGGTGATATGCAAGATATTCATCAGTATGGCTATAGGATAGGGCCATTTCAGGCTCCCTTTCCTCAGCTGCCCAAGGAACTAGCTGGGGACATCTCTCTGGACCCCTGGGAACCCCTCTAGAGTCAAGTCTCTTACCAACCCTAAAATGGTTCCCTTAATTAAGGTATCTACTTCCCTGCTCCCATATGTACCCTTCCTCCATCCCAACCGTCCCATTCCCCCAAACTCTCCCCATCCTCTCCTTTTCACTTTTCTCTCCCTATCACCCATTACCCCCACCTCACCCCTACCCCCAAGCTCCCAATTTTTGCCTGGCAATCTTGTCTACTTCCAATATCCAGGAGGATAACTATATGTTAATCTTTGGGTTCACCTTCTTATTTAGCTTCTCGAGGATCACAAATTATAGGCTCAATGTCCTTTATTTATGGCTAGAATCTACTTATGAATGAGTACATACTATTTTCATCTTTTTGGGCCTGGGTTACCTCATTCAGGGTAGTGTTTTCTATTTCCATCCATTAGCATGCAAAATTCAAGATGTCATTGTTTTTTACCACTGAGTAGTGGAGAGGAAAGGAGGAAAGCAGAGGAAAAATGTATAGCACAATAGAAATATACTTAATGCAAAAAAGGAGAAAATGTACCTGAGAAAAGAGTAAATTGCTCATGTGGTACAACACACCTCCAACCTCTTCTACAACCAGGCTCTTCGTAAACAGGGGACACCTTTGTGTTCTCCAAGAAAATGATGGGGCTTTGCAATGAGGAATCCACCTAGATTGTGATAGTGTTTCTAAGATGACAAACAGTACAAAAAGTTCAGTTCCTGGCTACAAACTACCCAGGACATTCAAATCTGTGCATTAATATGAACGGACATAAACATTTTACAGAACTTTGAACTCTGAAATACTTACTACTAAAACAGACAAATACAACTAAGATGCACATTCTAGAATGCTTGGCAAATAGCTCCATTATTGTGAATAGTTTGACTATAGTACATTTAAAATATTTCCTTTTTATTTATACAAAAGAGCGTAATGTTGTGGCATATTTGACCACACTGAAAATCCAAGATTGTGCTATTTAAATAAAATCAATCATATGTCAATATGCAGAGCAAGAAACCAATTGAGTGAAAGTAATTTTGGATAGTAAGGGGAAGTAGGAGAGAGAGAGGGGAGAGAGAGAGAGAGAGAGAGAGAGAGAGAGAGAGAGAGAGAGAGAGAGAGAGAGAGACACATGAAGTACAAGGGAAGGACATCAGGTTGAAGGAGTTTTTTATGGTATAGAGGACAGCATTCTTTTGAGACAATGGCAGAAAGTCGCCTGGTTGATTTCTTGCTTTCTCTGCAGATTTTCACTCCAGTATCTCACAGGGCTACTGAGCCTTTATTGGTAAAATAAAAAGACATAGAATTAGTCAAAACAACATCAACTCTGCACATGACTCCATACTGAGTCATTGGCTATGGGAAGCAAAAGCTTCCCTAACCCACGGCAACAGCAGCACAGCAGTAGCAGTGGTGGCTGCAGAGGTGCAGGCAGCGGCTGAGGCAGAGATAGGATCAGATGCAGATGCTGTGCTGCAGATATAAAACAACAGAAACTCCAGGAAATTTGGCTACCATTTGAAAAATTCATTAATTCAGTCAACACCTTTCCAAAGGGAAAAGACAGGAGAACTAATCCATAAACCATAAACATTGTCAGTACATATGCTTCATTGTGGATAACATAGTAATATGGGGTTGGGAGGAAAAAATAAAAGAAACAAAGTGAAGAGGACAAAGAGAAGTAGAGGGAAACTTCTCCCTCAGCTGGTGACTCCTTATTCTGAGTGTGGACTTCATGACCTTTTCAAGACTACTGTGTAGTTGAACCACAGGATGTGCTGAGATCTCACTATTCATGTTCAACTCACACACCTGAATAAAAAGGTAAAAATGAGAGCAGACTGCACATATGAGTAACAGTGTCTGTCACACATCTAAAAGATGAAGACAGAGGCTGTTGAATTGACTCTGGTGCTTCGAGAACCACTGGGAAATTAAACAAGAATGGGAACTGGAATGTCTTCAGAGGCTTGCTTAGTGTAAGGGAGGCCCTGAGCTTGAAGTCAAACCTTGAAACCCACCTTGTTGCTCACCTGACCTCAGAGCAGATTTCTGTGGGCATATGATGTTGTGATAACCTCCACAATGTAAAGCTGTTTATAGATGATGAGAAAGTATGCATCTCTGAAGCAAGCACAGAAACACTCAGACACATAATACAGACAGACATAAAACATAGGCAATCCTTCACAAAGACACACATTCAAGGGCATATGGACATATGCATATTAACATCCTATGCTATTTGAAAATTTTTTCCACCTTTGTTATTTATTCTACTTAAAAACAAATCACATTGCTTATTTGTAATGCCCTGTGATTACATTGATTCATCCCCCTTCCTCCTTTCCTCTTTCTCTCTCCTTTGACCCTTCTCTCCTCTCCTACTCTCATGTCTCTTCTTTTCTCTTCTCTTGTTTCATGTTTTACTGCACCAAATCGACGTCTTTTTCTTCTCATCCAGAAGTGAGATTGCAGGGCCACATCATTTTGTATAATTCTCTGAAGGACTCCACAGTTTTCATAATGTCTCAGTAGAACCACATCCCCATTTCCAGAGCACAGGCATCCCTTTTCCTCCACCCCCATAACACTTGGTCTTATTCTTTCTGTGGGTAAATGGCATTCATTTCATTGTTTACAGGCAACTAATTCTTTTGGGTTTAAGATCCATTTCTGTGGTTGTTAGAAATGTTAGTTTTACGCATTTTTCTTCCCACATGCACTGGTCAAGGTGAAGCAACCCCATCAGAGGATGCAGAACAATGCATGCTCATGAGGACAACCTCTCTCCTCTGTGGGTTCCCTGAGCTCTCTGTTAACATCCTGACTCAGAACTTAGAGATCTGAGAGAAATGAGTCTTTCTTGGAAAGAATAATTAAAATGTTCTCATGGTTGACAGAAACCATGATATAACCTTTAACAGGCAGTAGTGATTTTTCAAACACCATATTTATTATTCAATATGAGAAATGTAATTTTAAAATATTACCATTTGAATCAAAGTCTCACATAAACTACACAAGAACTAGAATATCGGTATAAGTCACAGCATGGGATGAGAACTGTTGTGTGTGTTTATTTATTATAGTGTTTCCCTTTATCTCTCTGTCTATCTCAGTCTCTCTCATTCTCTCTCTTTCTCTCTCATAATCTTTCCCTCTCACTACTCTCCGTGTGTGTGTGTGTGTGTGTGTTATTAAATACACTGTTTTAAATTAGGGGTATATGCTTCTGTGTGGGTAGTGTAGTGCTCATGGAGATAATCAGGGGGCACAGGGTCCTCTAGACTCACATGTGGTTCTGAGCTGCCTGAATATTCTAGGGTCTACAATCTTCTTTGGCTTCTTAGGGAACTGATGCTGGTCACTACACAGTATCACTTTTGCCCTGTGTGATGATCTCCATTTTATTCAATGAAAAGCACATCCTAAATTTAAAATGCAACTATACTGGCACTGTGAAAATCAAGTTTTGTCACACAACAACCTTCAGTGTGTTCTAAACACAGAACACAGAATCCACAACTAAAAAAAGAAAGAAATGGGTGTGGCAGTCAACCAGGTATACCATATAGGGAATGTGGAGACAGAGCCATCACTGGGACTCAGTGGACAATGAGACTCTTCAGTCATTGAGATCCAGGCCCAGTGATAGAATTTGTCTCAAAACAAGGTGTGCAGAATTTTAGAGAAATTTCAGTAAAACATATATTTCAATAAAACATACACACACACACACACGGAGAGTAGTGAGAGAGAAAGATTATGAGAGAGAAAGAGTGAGAGAGACTGAGACAGAGAGAGATAAAGGGAAACACTATAATAAATAAACACACACAACACAACAGAAAACAAAAATTTGAATAATCGTTTGGACTTTGAAGGATTACTACACACGATACCTGTAAAGAAAATCCCTAAGTGTGATATGGAGAGGCAGAGTAGACACAGAGAAGTCCAGTCTTCCATGCTTCTCTGAGCAGGTTCTTCTTTGACCCTGATTTCTATGTGATCTCAGCGCCCCCTGCTGATCCTGTGTTCCCCACAGCAGTGTTTTTGTCTGAGCTCACAGTAACATTCATTCACTGTGTCTCTTGCACAGTAATACATGGCTGTGTCTTCAGACTTCAGACTGCTCATTTCCAGGTACAGAGTGTTCTTGGCGTTGTCTCTGGAGATTGTGAGCCTGCCCTTCACAGCGTCCGCATGGTAGGTTGTACCACCATAACTAATACGTCCGACCCACTCCAGCCCCTTCCCTGGAGCCTGGCGGACCCAGCTCATGTAATAATCACTGAAAAAGAATCCAGAGGCTGCACAGGAGAGTTTCAGGGACTTTCCAGGTTGCACTAACTCTCCCCCAGACTCCAGCAATTGCACTTCACACTGGACACCTGTAAACACAAAGAATTCTGGTTAGAAAACTGACACAGAGTACATTTTTTTTCTCTTTCTCATGTCCACAGAACACACAGCGTCTCATCTTTATGAATTACCTTTTAAAATAAGGACAAAGAAAACCAATATGTGCCCAAAGGCCATGATGAGTGGCCTGTTTTCACTACTGAACACTGCCTGGGAGGACTTGGGAATCCAGGGCTTGTCACCTCTGCCAGAGCTGCAAGACCAGGGCAGGGCTGGTATTTATGGGCACAAAAAAGCCTTATTTGCATATCTTTCTGCCATATCAGGCTCTATAGTTGGAACTGGGAGGAAGGCAGTACTCAGAGCATATATAAGACATCATACACACTGATGAGAGTTATAGATATTGAAACATTAACGTAGCTCTGTGTACACATTTTCCTTGTTAGTGATTCATCACACTGTATTTCCTTCCCCTTTCACTATATGCACAGAAAATGCCATGTTTCCACACTGTCTTAGGATCAATGTGAAATTTAGAAGCTCCGTACACAGCTGTGTTTCCAGATATTAGATATGTCTGACTGTTTCCGCTGGACATTGCTTCTTCCTGAGGTGATTCTTACTTAGGGTCACATCTGCCTCTAGGAAGAACTCCTTCTATGTGACAGGAACACTTGAGAGGTGCTGTCATAGGGCCCCAGGGATTTTACAAATGAAATGTTCCTTGTTACTATCTATCTTTCCCTCAGTTATTGCTGTGGAGACATATTTGTATTTGCAGCACTTAGTTGTTGGCTTCCTGAAGTTCTCCCTCTGCTCACTCTGTCTTTTCCACCTCAACAACAGGCAACACATGGCTATCTTTATGTTGCCTTAGGTCAGTTTTTTGCATATTTGTATGTTCATCATAGTGGGGGTGTTTAATGTTTATTTATTTTTTATTTTATTTTTTGAGATAGAGGTTCACTTTAGTTTTAAAGCCTGACCTGGAACTAGCTCTTGTAGACCAGGCTGGCCTTGAACTCACAGAGATCCACCTGCTTCTCCCTCCTGAATGCTGGGATTAAAGGTGTGTGCCACCACTGCCCAGTTCCAATAAATTTTTTGACAACAAAACATAACATTTTGTGATCAATTTTGTATTTTCAGAAGACTTTGTTTTTATTTTCTCAAATTCTCATGTTTTCTACCCACCGAGCTGCTTACTCTCACTACACCCAACTTTTCTTTTCAAAACCCCTGTATTTGCCTGTGCTTTTCCACTCTTACCCTATTTTTAAGATGCTTTTCCTGTCTTTACTTCTTTTCTAGTTCCAAGTCTACAAAACAAAAGCCAGAACACCACATAAACAGTCTCAAACACACAATCTGTATTCTCTATAAGGCAGAAACTGTCTTTTCCAATCTTCAATGTGTTGTGTGATATAAGATTTCCAGTACCATTCCAGTTCCTCCAAGGCTCAGAGAACACTGATGAAGGGGAGAAGGGAAGAATGTAAGGAGCAGAGCGCAGGGAGGAGTACTGTGAAATGCTGTCTTCTGGACATGTCATGGATATCACAATCATGGACTCATAATGGCTGCTGTTGTTTGTATAATCCTAACTAGGGCCAAGCCAGCCAAAAACCTGGTACAGATAGGGCTGATAATTCCTTGTTCCTACTTCTTACTGAGGAGCAGTTGGAAATGCATTTTTCTGGACAAGGTCTTGAGTCACACATTTTTGAGGGTATGGTCACTGGTATGTTTCCTATGTTTCAGTGCATGGGTTCACACACATGCTGATATGGGCAGCAATAACTGTTCTTAAATAAGTATGAGTTTGGTAGAGTGCCATGTTTGGAAGATATGGGAGGAATTAAGCAAAAAGAATAAAGAAAATTAGTAAAAAAAAGCTGTATAGCTGAGGCTTAAAGCAAAAATTCAGAAAGCAAATGATTAAGGGATACTGGTAAATGTCAAATAAGTTGGTAGGCAACTTTATCTGGGACCATCTTTCCATGCAACTAAGAACCAGTGGGGTACTTAACTTCTAAAAAACCTATTTTCAGGTACATCTATACATGATTTGTAAAATATCTTTTCACACTTTTTTTTAGCTGTTACTTGACTCTAAGCTGATAACATCCCATCATTAATCAGAATTAAGGAGAAAATTATTCTGGTGTTAGATTATATATATATGTGTCATCTAGGTATTCCCCTTTCTTTAAAATTATCTAGAACTAATCAGATGACATACTGAAGAGAAGAGAATTTCAATGTCATCTCTATAAACAATTGCTATTTCTTTTCTACTTCTAGGGAAAACTTTGCCTGTGCCTATTTGTTCAATAATTTATTTACTTTAATGTAAATATGTGAAACCTTATAATTCATAAAGGTAGGCTCTCAATAAAAAGTTCTTGATATTCTTGGTCTAAAGTAAAATCCTTGGGATTAGAATAAAGGTATGGGTCCTGGTATATTTTAGGTCAAACAAACTCATTTTACCCTGTCCATCCATTTCAGGAGCTGCCATGTAAGCTGATCCTCACACTGACCCTGGAAAATATGACAGTGGAACCTTTGAGTTCCACATTGTGTGCAGTTATTCAATTCACTGCTAAGCGTTCTGCTGTCAGGATTCTAAGAATGTAGTCAATGTGGTCTCCAAGGCTTCATCACACACTATTGGTGTCACTGCCTGAATTTCAGGAGAAGCCTCAGCCTCAGGTGAAAAGATTCTCTGTTCCTTTTTAAACCTGCCCCAAGCCTATGATCCATTAACATGAAGTTCACAGCCAAAACAACTTCTCTGAAGGACACTTCTGTAGCTCACACATGAGGCACCAGGATCTTCCAGTCAGCAACATCAGAGTGCAGATGAGTAATTTTGGGAGTAACAAAAGCACCAGTAAAATCACAAACTGTGAAAAACATAGACCTCAGTTGTCTATGGGAAGGGTTGGAGAGAGATGAAACAGGGAGCAGAGCTGATGTCTTCAGGGATGTGCATATTTGTGGCTGAAAATTTTGTGGTCTGAGTTGCGCAATCTGCCTATAGAGGAGTCATTAGTTTGAATTTTGAAGAGCAAGATAATTTTTTACCAAAATGATAATGTTCAAAAATAAAATCCTGCAGCAATTATAAATACTGTACACTTTTATAATATCCTATTAGTTTAGAAGTAGGAAAGTGTGGATGTTTTATTTTCTAAGTTAACTGTGGAAATTAACATCAATTCAGGGCAGTTGTGGTTTCTCTATCACAAGTTTAAAATTAAACAGGATGAATTAAAGATTTTTCAATATTCTTACATAGCTTTCACAAAGTGTCACATTCAGACTCATAGATAGATATATAGATAATAGATAGATAGATATAATTTGCCAATTTGTTTGACAAGGAGCAATTAGACATCTTAGAGGATTATGTGGGAACACAGATGTTTAGTGTGTAATTAAAAAAGATTAATAGGTTATGACAAATAAAGCCTACTCTACAGGATTTCCTAGTGTAAAAAAAAACAAAGGTTATGTCATCAAACAGGTATCAATGCAGCATATTCCTGAACTTCTTAGTTTCTTAAGTGACCACCACTGGTATTGGGAGTTCCTGGTGGTCCTCAGCATCCCCTGCTGGTCTGAATAGAGAGGTTTCTGTCCAAGCTTACATTGGAATTCTCTCTCTGGTCCTCTGGCAGAACAATACATGGCTATGTTCAAAGTTTGCATATTTTTCAGTTTTATGAAAACATAGTTCTTGGAGATGTAGTGATATTTTGTTTGTGATTTTACAAGTAAAACTTCCTGAAATTCATTAGTTAGCTATAAAAGCCAGGCAATTGTGGCACAAACCTTTAATCCCAGCACTAGGAAGACAGAGTTGGACAATGTGTGCAACACAGAAGCAGAACTCATACAAAGGTGATCCGAGCACCTGGGATCATATAGCGGCTTAAAACTCTCCTTTTCTGATCCTTCAGCTTTTGCCCCTGGTAGCCAACTCTGGCTTTTTATCATTAAGAATGATTAGAATTCATGAAACGGGAGTTGTCTCTACTGATGTTGACTTGGGATTTGAGATCAGAATTATAATGTGTGCTTCCACCACTCCAGATTCTTCACATCCACTTCAGACACTTTCCTGGATGTTGACAGACAAAGCTTACATCATAACTGGTTAATGACAATCCACTGACAGTTCAGGTGAGGGATGGGGTCTGTGAGGGCGGTACTAGACCAGGTGCTTACTCCTACAGCTGCTCCTGAGACAGGGAACCTGGGAGCAGGTACAATAATCATGGTAAGGCTTCCCACAGATGAGATGCCCAAGTCTCTCTCCTGAAACCCTGAAACACTTACTGCTTGGAAAGGGCACCATGCAGAGGAGCAGCACCAGGACAACCATGCCTACTGGATACTTTAATGAGAAAGAGATGGGGACATTCATCTAGCCCTGGATTTTTAGCCTGAGCAGAGGGGTGCTTTTTCATTGAGGGAGGTTCCTGAGAGGATAAAAAAAGCACAGGATAAGGTTTACACTTTTCCTTCAGGTTTCTGAGAATTGCCCTTGTTCTTCTTAGAGGACCTGGTGATTAAAAAAAAAAAAAAAAGTATTGCTGGGTCCATGGGTAAGTTGATCCCGAACCGCGAGGGGGGCACCCACACACTGAGACAATGGGGATGTCCTATCGGGAACTCACCAAGGCCAGCTGGCCTGGGTCTGAAAAAGCCTGGGTTAAAACCGGTCTCGCTGAACATAGCAGACAATGAGGACTACTGAGACCTCAAGAACAATGACAATGGGTTTTTGATCCTACTGCACCTATTGGTTTTGTGGGAGCCTAGGAAGTTTGGATGCTCACCTTACTAGACCTGGACGGAGGTGGGTGGTCCTTGGACTTCCCACAGGGCAGGGAACCCTGATTGCTCTTTGGGCTGACGAAGGAGGGGGACTTGATTGGGGGTGGGGAGGGAAAGGGGAGGCGGCGGTGGGGAAGAGACAGAAATCTTTAATTAATTAATAAAGAAATAAATAAATTAAAAAAAGTTAACATTTTTTTCTGACACTGGATTCCCACTTGCATATAAATAGGAAATTGTATGATTCACACTGTGCAGACCTTGGATGAAAACATTAAGTGACTCCACATTCATGCTGTGCAGATAACACAGGATACCACATCCTCAGTGCATATCCCTGTAAATTCCAACACAGTGTTTAGATGGAATTTAGTCATAAGATTCACTTCAGGTGAAATTAGGATTAAGGAACTACTTAAAATCCTTTCTATTGTCATTGAAGTTAATTTTTATCACTCATCTAGAAAATTTAACTTTTGAGGATGCAACTCACAAACATTTATTGCATGTGATTTTAACTTTTTATCTGCGAGAGATTCATGGGATTGATTTTCATACACATTAGTGGTCTCAGGAACACCATACTTGGATATTCTTATTTCCTGTTTTCTGGTTGTCTGTGTTTCTGTCACTACGTACTTTTATATTTCCTTCCTTGTCTCTTTACCACTTGAAGCACATTTCAAATGCAGGTTCATAAATATGATTGTTGCATTGGTGAGGGATGGAGGGTCAGCTCTTCATGACACCTTGTAAAAAGTAGTAGCATGGAACCAGTCTTGAGTGTTATGTTACCTGAATCAACAAAAAGATGAGAACCCTAAGTGATGACAAGAAGTGGAGAGGAGGACATGCTTGAACAATGGGAACTGATTTGCAGCACGCCGCTCCCGCCAGCAGAAGAGAGACCTCAACAGGATTCTTCTCAGAACACACTTTATTGGAGCACTTACACTTGAGGTTGTAGAGAGGCAAAAGACCCCGTCCCCGTGAAGCAGAAGAATGTATACGGTGCCAGACAAAGCCCTGACGTGTCATCAACCCAATGGCTCAGGCCTGAATGGAGTGATCGTGCCAGACTATGATTGGCCAGATCGGATGGCCAGATCGAAAGACTCCCCGTGCTGGGGGGAGCTCGCGCGCATGCGCACAAATTGTCTGTTAAGTTTGACGTGGAACAGCAAACGGCGCCCAGGCTCTGTGCCCCCGACATGACAGCGCCATGGTGCGCGCTACATCTCCGCACGCTACATCTCTGCACGCTACACTGATTGTCTTGTCGTGAAGATCAACATAGAGAAAAGGATTCAGGGCTTTTTTCAATGCCTTGGTACTGTAAATCATGAGGGAATGGCAGAGAATAGCTCAAAACAATCTGTTCAGTAAATCCCAGAGAATATCCACCAATTCTTTTACATTGGACACCGCACAAGTTGTGTCCCTTATTCCTCTGAGCATATTCTATATGTAGTAGCCACGGTGGAGACAGATCTTAACACTGGGGAGTCCACCATCCTGTGCCACCTCTGATGGACATCCACCCTGTAAGTGCTTTGTCAACTTTTTTTCAGAATGCATTGTTTGTTAGAACATTTTTAGACATTATGCTCAGTGTATCTCATCCTTGGTTTGTCTGATTTTTCATTGTGGCTTTTGTGTCTTGCAAAAGATCACAAGAATAATTACATATTTTCATTCATTTTTGGAGAAATGGTATGTTACCCATTACTCAAGAATTTTTTCTTTGGTTACATCAGAGTTTGTGTCCACATGTTGTTGTCTCATGCCTCTAGGGGTCCCCTTCTCCATGAAACACATTGGAAGAAACTACTAAGGAGAAAAAAGTCTTCAATGGGAATGCTTTCAAGATAAAGCTGCACATTACTCACAATTATCTTCTATTTGAGAGTTACATCCTTATACTTGAGTTTGTTCAGTCATTTATTCAGTCATGTCTAGTGGACTCATGGACGTTCAGTTAATGCCTCTTGCTACAGTGAGAATACAATATTTTATATTTGTATGATGGTTAGAATTTTCTCAGTGTAGAAAATGGCTATAATTATCTGGGCATGGTAAACCTCAGTTGGGAGACAATGTGCCCACCAGATTGGCCTGTAAGCAAGCCTTTAGCAGCATTTTAACATTAGAATGGCACAATTTCCTTTATATTTTTTGAGGAAGGAACTGGAAAATATTTCATTTAAAACAGGAAAAGGGAATTTACTGCAGAAGCAGAAATCTTATGAAGATTTAGATAGAATAGAACTTATTCAAGCTAATCTATGAATCAGTCATTCCTACTACCCTCTTTCCCCTGCTTCTCACTTCTGATGACCATTTCTGGCCCCTCCTACTCTCATGTCTCTTCTTTCCTTTCATTCCTCCCTGCCCTCCCTGCCTCCCTGCTAAACTTCTGCTTCCTCATTTCCTCTCTCCTCTTCCCTCCCACTGTCTCCCACATCCTTTCTTCCATTTTCTTGTTTCTGGGTATATGCAGTAAGTTGTTTCTGTTATATATGTATAATTGTTATGGCTACCCTGCATCTAAAAGGCAGCATCCAACTCTATCACATTTCTCCAGCAGACTCTTGCTACCTTTCTTGGGCTTCAGAGCATACATAATATGTATGTTCTGGGGTGAGTATTCAGCAGTCACTTATTTTCAGTATTAGGGCAGTCATGGGTCCATGCTTTACATGTCACAAACTTCAGAAAGGCCTCACTGACCAAGTCTGAAAGAAGCACTAACATATTGGTACAAGTACAGAAAACAGTGTTAGTATATATTTCTTGGCAGAACAACAATAGTGAGTTTCCTCATAGTACTGTGCCCTTTGTACTATTGGTTTTTTGAACGTTTCTGTGCTCTAATTTTTAAAAATGTTGAAATATGTTTAAATTTTGAAGGATGATTATCTCAGTAAAAATATGGAGGATTTCAGGTTTGTGTGGCATGTATAGTCCCTCTCCTCTATATGATGGACCATTTAACTCACTAGGTTTTGTACATATGTTGTACAGGAACATAAAAATTTTATGTGTGTAATGACCATATGATGTCCAGAGGTAACCATCCCACAGAACTCTTGCCCATTTTATGGTACTTTCTTTCTTTCAACCCACTCTTCAGTGATGTTATTTGTGCCTGTGGGAGGAATATGGAGGAGTAAGAAAGTGGGGGGTGGGAGTTTTGATTTAGACATTCTATCTGTGGACAAACACACAAATGTCTATTCTCAGCAGTGAACTGTCATCAACTCTCTGCATTCAATGATGGGGGCTGGGGGATGGAGATTCATTTTATTTGCAGGAGTAGCTATTGATTTGTTTTCTTTGCCCATTAGGTGACTCCACACTCATGGGCATATGGGCAATACAACTTGGATTTGTTGAGTTATAAAAAAAAAAGATGTAAATTTGGGAGTAAATGGTGTTGGGAGGGGCAAGGAGAGGGAATTGGAAGGAACAAGTTGAGTGAGGATATGGCCAAGATATATTGCAGATTTGTATGAATTCTCAAAAAATAAAGAAAAAATGTTTTCAAATGGTAAAGTGTATTTAAAGTCCATTCCTGTAGAACATTAAAGGTTTCATACTCCAATGTTCTGACGAGCAGCTGGAACACTAGCAGTGTCTTCCTACCCCCACAAATTGAAGTCTTTTAAATCTATACTATCTCAATCAATGTTGGAAACATCCTTATGTTACTGATTTTTCTTTAACAGATCCTGACAGTGTAACTGTTTTTGTTGAACACTTATCAAGGAAGCAACTGGAAGGTCCAGTTCTGGGAGAAGAATTATCAATGGCTCATGTGCCCTGAGGACAATTTCTTTAACCACTTTCTAAGAATCCCTGAGAAACACAGACTCTTAGGAATGTTCTTCTCACTTTCTCTCTCTTTATTTATTTCCTTCCTTCCTTTCCTATTTTTTTTGTTACCAAGGGACATATTTCTAAACTATAAATATTTTTACTTCTGCTAATACACAAATAATGTGTACCATATTTTTTAAAGTTGATTTTAATCTTCAGTGTTTGTTGTGATATGCATTGTGTGAGGACTATTCTGAGTATAAAGCTTTCCTAGATTCATGGATAACTGACCATGCTTCATCTTTCTGTTTAACTTGAATCCTATACTATTTCCATCATGAAACTCAGCTGAGACTCTGTCCTGAGTCCACAGAAGTCAACTTGTTAGGTTTCTAAATTATTTCACATCTGATCCTGGTGCCCACACCAGTCAGTTCTTCCATGTGTCTTGGTCTCTGTCTCATCTGGGCCAAATATAACTTTTAATTACACACACACACACACACACACACACACACACACACACACACACACATATATACATCAAAGTTGAAAATACTGTTTCATGTTTGACCAATTCAAATATGTCTACAAACCACACTTGTAGAGAGATTTTATGAGTGATGTACAGAGGTAGCTAAGACATATGGAGTCTAGTCCTTCATGTCCATCTGCTCTTGTTCAGGGTGACATTGACCTGCCTGCTTTCTTTCTGCTCCCCTATGTTCATAAGAATGCCCTGCAGGGAAGCTTGTGTTTAGGTTCATGTTTATTCTCTTCAGTGTGCATTTTGACACAGCAATACTTGGTTTATCATAGACTTTCAGACTATCCATTATCATTTGCAGAGTGTTCTTGTAATTGTCTCCAGATATAGTCAATCTGTCCTTGACGGAATTTGTATATTTTGTTACATGTATGAGATCCACTCTGGTCCCTTCCCTGGAGCATGGCAGACCCACTGCATATACTAATCACTGAAGGTGAATCTAGAGCCACACAGGGTAGTTATAAGGTTGCCCCAGGCTGTAAAAATCTTCCTCCAGACTCCACTAGCTGTACCTCCCACAGGATACCTGTAAACACATTTGTCCTGTTCAGGAAGCTGTTATACTCCACTTTATCTCTCACTCATATCTACTAACAACGCAGTATTTATTCTTTAGCCTAAATTGCCTTGTAAAAGAGAAACAAGAAAAACTCAGCTCTTCCTCAATACCATGGTGAATAGTCTGTGTTCAGTATTTATCTTTGAATTGAAAGACCTGATAATCCTAGACAGGGCTCCTCTTTCAGACCTGTAGTATCAGGGTTGGACTGATTTCCCTGAGCAGGATGAGGTCCTGTTTGCATTTTCCTGCTATATATGTTCTCGTGACCTAAGCTCAAATGGGAGACTATGCTTATGGAAGATATTAAATTTATGGTGGTCACTATAGAGATGACAGAATTTAAGAATTCTACATTGTATCCACTTATGAGTGAGTACATATCATGGTCATCTTTCTGGATCTGTGTTACCTCACTCAGGATTGTTTTTTCTAGCTCCATCAGTTTTCATGAAAATTTCAATGTCATTCTTTTACCACTGGGTAGTACTCCATTGTGTAAATGGGCCACATTTTCTTTATCCATTCTTTGTTTGAGGGACATCTATGATATTTCCAGGTTATGGCTCTGACAAATAATGCTGCTATGAACATAGTTGAACAAATGTCCTTGTAGTATGATTGATCAACTTTTGGTTATGTGCTCATGAGTGGTATTGCTGTGTCCTGAGGTAGCATGAAGTGGATACTAGCTTTAAATCAAAGGAATAATGAGCCTATATTTCATGATCCTAGAGAAGTTAAGTAACAAGATGAATTCTAAGAAAATATACATAGAGCCACTTGGAAAGGGGAAAGAGTCAAGGCTGATGGACAAAATTGGGAGTACAGGGGTAGGGGAGAATAGAGGGTGGAAGGGGAAAAAGGAGAGAAAGGGCAAGGGAGAAGAATTTGAGGTAATGGGTTAGTGTAGATGGAGAAAGGACAGAGATGAGAGCAATGAAAGAGATATTTTGATTAAGGAAGCCATTATTGTGCTAGCAGGAAACCTGGAACTAGAGAAATTCTCAAGAATGCACTAGGATGACCACAGCTAAGACCCTAAGCAATAGAGGAGAGGGTAACTTTGTAGAGAGGAGGGCCTGCTTGTTCCTCCCTGTCTCCTGGCTAGCTTAGTCCTGAAATAACCACAGTATAGTTAATCACTAACAGATCTGTAAAGCAGCAACATAAACTCTTTTTGACTATTCAGGTCAAGCATATATTTTGTAACCTTTTGTGACATGAAACTATGCTGATGATTCCTCTATCTACTCCACAAATAGAACCACATGAGAAGTGGGTGTTGGGGGAAGGTTGAGATGACCCGTAGGAAGCATCAACACATTCTAGCATAGCTTTCACTAACAACACAACTCTGGGGCAACTTAGCCAAGGCAAATAGATGGAGTCTGTGATGAGACAACCCAGCTTGATTATTGGACTCTTTTTGGAAACACAAATGTTTAGTAACATTTGACTTCTCTTTTCATTTACTTTGGAGTAGCAGTCTTCCATCCAGTGCTCTCAGTTCTCTCAGTCTCCTCTGTCTGAAGATTCACCCCTACCTACTTCATGATCATACAGGAAGTATATGAACAGTGGAACTTCCAGGTAACTGGCTATAACAAACAATGCTGTTATGAACATAGTTGAGCACATATCCTTGTTGTACAATTGAGCATCCTTTGAATATATACCCAAGAGTGGTATTTCTGGGTCTTGAGGAACATTGTTTCCCAATTTTCCTAGAAATCACCATACTGATATCCAAAGGGGCTGTACCAGCATGCAATCTCACCAGCAATGCAGGACTGTTCCCTTTATCCCACAAGCTCTCCAGCATACATTATCATCGGGGTTTTTGATCTTGGCCATTTTTACAGGTATAAGATGAAATCTCAGAGTTGTTTTGATTTGTATTTCTCTGATAACTAAGGATGATGAGCATTATATGCCCCACAACTGAAGAATGAATAAGGAAAATGTGGTACATTTAAACAATGGAGTACTGCACAGCAGAAAAATAACGGTGACATCTTGAAGTCTGCAGGCAAATGGATGGATCTAGAAAATATTATATTGAGTGAGATTATTTATACCCACAAAGACAATAATCATAGGTACTCACTCATAAGTGTTTTTTAAACATAAAGCAAAGGAAACCAGCCTACAAACCACAATACCAGAGAACCTAGATAACAATGAGGACCCTAAGAGAGACATACATGGATCTAATCTACATGGGATGTATAAAAAGAAAAGATCTCCAGAGAAAACTGAGAGCATGAGAACCCTGGGAGATGGTTGAAGGGAAAAGGAGAGGAAGAAAGGGGATCAAAAAAATGTGTAGCTCAATAAAATCAATATTATAAAGAGAAAAGATCTATGGTATTTAGTTCTCTGAATAAATCCATTAACAAAGATTTTAAAAAGAGTTAACCAAGGTCTGATGGAAATAAGAGGCAATTGCTACAATGGCCAGTCTCAGGCATCAGTCCAGCCTTTTACCTGACCCAGATCGCTGGATGCTCTCTGCGCCTCCTGCTGGTCACAGGCGCCCTGCAGGAAGGTTTGTGTCTGATCTCACAGTAACTTTGCATCACTGTGAATCTGGTGCAGTAATACATGGCTGTGTCCTCAGACCTCAGACTGTTCATTTCCAGGTACAGGGTGTTCTTGGCATTGTCTCTGGAGATGGTGAATCGGCCCTTCACGGCATCAGCATATGCAATGTCGCTACTATCACCACTAATATACGCGACCCATTCCAGGCCTTTCCCTGGAGCCTGGCGGACCCAGCTCATGTAATAACCACTGAAGGTGAATCCAGAGGCTGCACAGGAGATTTTCAGGGACTTTCCAGGCTTCACTAAGCCTCCTCCAGACTCCACCAGCTGCACCTCACACTGGCCACCTGGAAACACAAAGAATGCGGGTCAGAAGACTGTCACTGAAGCTATGTTTTCTTTTTCATGTCCACACAACACACAGACAACATCTCGTCTCCATTAATTACCACATAAAATAATGGCAACGAAAAGCCAAATAAGCCACAAGTCCATGGTGAGTGATCTGTGTTGGATGCTGATCACTGAATGGGAGAACCTGGGAATCCAGGACTGGGCTCCTCTGCCAGACCTGCAGAGTCAGGGCAGAGGTGGTTTTAATGGGCACAGAGAAGCCTTATTTGCATGTCTTCCTCCTGTAGCAAGCTCTGAAGTTGGGCCCTTGGCAGAAGGCAGTGCTCCGAGCAGATATAAGGCATCAAAGACCATGACGACAGTTACAGAGACTGACGTAGTAAAGAACCTCTAAGTGAGCTTTTCCTAGCTAAGGATTCACCACACTTCACTGAGTTCTCTTTCATGCAGGTGTTCAGAACATGCTGTGTTTCCACACTGTTGTATCTCCTTAGTATATCTATGCAATTTAAAAGATCCACAAACTGTGGTGTTTCTATATAGGAGCTCTGTCTTTCCCAGTCTCTGGAACAGTCATGGCTTCTCCATAATGTGGATCTTGGACAGGGTCTTGCCTACCTGGAGAGGTTAGCAGAACTCCTTCCTTATGTCAGGAGCACCTTGGAATTTTCTGAATTTTACATATTTATGAGACAATACTGTTCTCAGGCCATAAAAGACTTACAAATGAGACAACCTTGTTGTTGCTGCCCTACTTTTGGCATGGTTTTGACCACATCAGTAGATAACAGACTGGGACAAATTAAAATTGTTCTGATGAAAGGATAGATGTAGGGATGGTGAACGTTCAACCACCATCATATACACTTTTAGATGTAGCCATACACCCCAACACACACACTGACAATCATACACACAGAGTCACGCTTATAGACATAGTCACCAATCCAATTACCTTCCAAGTAGTCACACTTTCTGATATTCACACATTCAAACACTCTCTCTCTCTCTCTCTCTCTCTCTCTCTCTCTCTCTCTCTCTCACACACACACACACACACACACACAAAAACACATCCACATGTAGAAACACGTTTACTGGCAGAGGGATTGGATTTTTTTCTTCCTGTCTTTTGACATGGTCACTCTGGTTGGCTTGGACTCACTATATAGACCAAGCTGATATTGAACCATGAGAGATTCTCTTACTAGTGTCTCCCTAGTGACCGGATTAAAAGTATGCACTACATTTCTGAGCATCTCATGCTGATTTTGTTAAAGTTTGAAATATTTTTTAAATAAAAATTTCTGATTATTATTTACTTCCCTCATTTCTTCCAGGTCCTTCCTCTTTCTCAAACTGCCCAACTCTATAACAAGCAGTTTTATGGTAATTTTAGGAGTTAGGCTCATGGCTTTCGTTTTCAAATAGACAATAAATGGTTTAAAATCAATAATTGACAATACATATTATCTTAGAAAAATCATTACATAATGCTTGTATTTGTTTTATAATTTAAAATGTTTCATTAATGTCCACAAAATGTAGCAACAAAATCCAGAACTGAGCCTGCCTCCCTGTATGAGTACCTTAGTTGCATTCTCAGCACTTGACTAAGAAGCTGGGTGTGATGGTTTATCCTTCATTCCCAGCACTGGGGAGGTGGTGACTGGAAACTCTCTGTGACTTGTCATCCCAACATTTTATCTTCTGAGCTCCAGGTTCAATATGAGACCCTCTCTCAACAAATAAGGTAGATGTCAACTGAGGAATACACTAAGGACCAACTTGTGACATCTACAACCATGGACAAACATACACTGTGACTATTAGCATTTCCATTCATTCAAATATTTCCTTTTCCCTGTGTTGAACTTTGTAGCCATTTAGAAGCAAGTCATGGAAGCTGTAGACCTAGGCTGGCTTGCTTTTTATTCTGGGAAGCAAGAACAGGACTCTTGTGACTCATTGTATACTTGTTCCCTCTCCAAAACTTTCATCATTTCTTACTTATATAGGGTTTGTCATTCTTTCTCCAGCCACAAAATTGCATATTGTAAGTGTATTCATGTGAGAAATAATATTTTTCTGTATACAGTTCTGATCTTTTTCTTTTTAAATTGGGCTTGTTTCTTGAATTTAAGACCTTGCACATGGAAAGTAAACAATATATCCAAGAGCTATATATCAAGTCCTCCTATCTTTTAAAACATCACATTTCCTACAGAAAATTAAATTTATTATTATAGCATTCTGTTATCTAATTCTAAATCAACACCATCCTCCCCAAATTTTTCATGATGCCACCACATATGACTGTATGTAAGACAGCAGAAAAATTGAAGGATGAATAATTGTGCATCAATCTCAAGAAGGGATGGTATTAAAGACAAAGGAAACCAAAGAAATGAGAATTAAAGAGAGAAAGAGTAAGAGAGAGAGAGAGAGAGAGAGAGAGAGAGAGAGAGAGAGAGAGAGAGAGAGAGAGAGAAACTTCATTCCCCGCATGTGGCTCCTATCCAGAATCTGGACTACATGAAATGATGACATCATTATCTTCTGTAAAGACACGTAACACTGGTTGGAATCTCATTTTCATGTTGAGCACCACACACCTGAATTAAAAAGCAAAGATAGGACTGAACTGTGCCAATAAGCAACATGGTGTCTGCCACACACTGAAATGAGTAAGACAAGGGCTGCTGAGCTGGGTTCTCAGCCACTGGATTTCTGCATGTAACTTTGGCCCTTAGGCAGAAACTGGAGCTGGGCTGTGTTTAGAGACTTTATTATGGAAAGGGAGACCCTGATACTGAAGTCAAACTCAAACTCCCAGTTTTTTTTTTAGGACACCTGATGCCTGAGCTGGGCTCTATGGTCAGAGGATGCTATGGTCACCTCTATTATGTAAACTATTAATACAGTATGAGAAAATATGCCTCTCTGAAGCAAACATGCTAACTCCAAGACATAGACACAGAACAAACAGTGATATAACAACAGAGGTATACCTACACAAAGGCACACATACTAGGACAAACAAATAAATATATGTTCAAATCTTAAATTACTTGAAAATATTGCTTTTCAGCAAGCTACAAGTTCCACCTCGCACCCAAACTCACCTATCCTCCTGCAACCTCAGTGGAACTCTGAAATGCAGCCTGCCACAATACAGAGAGGACCAAGAGGTGAATGACCAGCCACCTGGCAGGACATCCCACTCTCTAGACCCTCCAGAGTGGGGCAAAACCCCAGGCCTCTCCCTCATCTGCCTTGGCTTATCTAAGCCAGACATCAGGAGAGTTTCCTGTAGGAAGGCTTCCCCAATATCCTCCCCTAACCATCAGACCCTGCAAGTTACAAGTCCCGTCCTGCCTCCAAACTTGCCTATTCTCAGGCAAACTCAGTGGAACTCTGATGCACAGCCTGCTACCACACAGAGAGGACCAAGAGGTGAGTGATCAGTCAGCCAGAGAGACATCATTTCTCTAGGCCCCCTATAATGGGAAAAAGCTACTGAACACTTCCCCACCTGCCTCACCTTCTATAGCCAGGCAGCAGATAAGTTTCCTGCAGGTAGGCAGCTCAAATACTCCCCATCCCATCCATCAGACAATAAAAGATACAAGCACAACTTCACCCACAAACACTCCAACCCACCGACCCCACAACATCAGAGGATGCTGAAACACAAGCTGCAACTACACAGAGAGGACAAGAGAGGAACTATAAAGCACAAGTTGTGACTGCCAGAGTGGTCCAAGAGCAAACCAGGAAAGCAGACTGAGAGAGACCCCAGTGGCTCTCTGAGACACAGACATTGACAGTACAGAGCAGACAAGACACAGACAGCCACTGCAAGTATTGGACCAAGATGCAAAGACATTGCCTGCATCAATTAAAGAGGTAGGTAGGCATTAATGCAAGAATTTGCACAGCAGTCTAAAAAGCAACATTGTAACACCAGAACCCAGTGGACTTACAATAGGAAGACTTGATCATCTTAACCCAGAAGATACAGAAGAAAATGGTTTTAAATGTACCTTTATGAAGATTATGGGGACCTTTAAAGAGGAAATGAAAAATTCCCTTAAAGAAATGGAGGAACAGACACACAAAAACATGGAAGAAATTAATAAATTACTCAAAGAATCACAAGAAAACCAAGAAAGAGCAATAAAAGAGGTGAACCAAACAATTCAAGATTGAAGACTGAAATACAGAAAATAAAGAAAACACAAATAGAGGGAATTTGGGATGTAGAAAATCTGAAATGACAGGAACTACAGAGATAAGTATAACCAACAGAATAAACGAGTTGGAAGAGAGAATCTCATTGTTGAAGGTATAATAGAGAAAATAAATTCATTGGTTAAAGAAAACATTAAATCCCAGAAACTCTTATCACAAACCATCCAGGAAATCTGGGACATGATGAAAAGACCAAATCTAAGAATAATATGGATAGAAGAAGGAGAAGAACATCAACTTAAAGGCACAGAAGATATATTCAACAAAATCATAGAAATAAACATTTCCAACATAAAAAAATATCCCTATGAAGGTACAACAAGTCTGTCGAATATCAAATAGACAAGATAAAAAAAACTCCCTTCATCATATAATAATTAAAATTTAAAATGTATAGAATAAAGAAACAATATTAAGAGCTGCAAAGGAAAAAGGTCAATTATCATCTAAAGGTAAATCTATAGGAATTACACCCAACTTTTCAGTGGAAACCATGAAAGCCAGAAGGTCCTGGGCAAATGTGTTGCAGACACTAAGAGATCATTGATGCAAGCCCAGACTACTCTACCCAGCAAAGCTTCCAATCACAGTCAGTGGAGAAAACAAATATCCAGGACAAAACCAGATTTAAAAAATCTCTGTCCATAAAACTATCCCTACAGAAAGTACTAGAAGGAAAAGCCCAGCCCAAGGAAGCTAACTGCACACACAAAAACACAGGAACAGAAAACCTTTAACAGCAAAATACAGGGAGGGAAATACACACTATGACCGAAAAATAACAGGAATTAACAACCAGTGGTCATTAATAGCATCTTAATATCAATGAAGTTGTTTCTCCTATAAAAAGACACAGGCTAAGAGAATAGATCTGGAAACAGGATCCAGCCTTCTTATGTACCCAAGAAACACACCTAAACCTCAAGGACAGACATTACCTCAGAATAAAGTTA